CTGGGCTGAGCCTCCTGTCCCCATGGCTGCACCCCGGAGCTGCTGTCCCACCTGGGAGCACTGTCCAGGCTGCAGTTGGGGCAGGAAGGTCCTGTGAGGGGACAAAGCCTGGACAGCAGCTGTGGCTGAGCCCTGCCAGGACCTGAGTCCCACCCCAGCCTTCTTCTCTGTCCTGGTGGACACATCCCCTGCGAGGTCGGGACATCCCTCACCGGTCCTGCCTGCAGCCCTGGTGAGGATGGACACAAAACCCATCCAGAAAAAAACCCCAAACCCAACCAATTCCACCACCAAAGCCACCCTGGGTGCCCATCAATCCCCTGACCAGTGACCTGAGGAGCAAACGATTCCCTGTGTTGTTCTTGTGCCTTTTGTCCCCTGCAGAGGAACCAAAGGCAAGGACATCAACACCATCAAGTCCCTGCGAGTCCTGCGGGTGCTCAGGCCCCTGAAGACCATAAAACGGCTGCCAAAGCTAAAGGTGAGAGAAAGACCCCAAAATTTCCTTCTCTGGAGGAATAATCCAAGTGATTTCTGTCGCTTTTATCTCGCTGCCATGAATTTCTTTGCCGGTTGAGCACTGACAGCTGGGCAGATGTTGAGCAAATGTCAAACACTCGGGTGCCTTTGTAAACATCATGGGCATTGTTAGTAATTCCTGTGAATCCATGTGAAAATAACAAAGAAATTTCTCAAGTTTCTCTGCAAAAAGAAAAGAATCACAAATAAACTAAATTACAGGTGATAAGCGGGGTTCTCTTTGAAACAATGCAGGAGAAAATGGGGTTGGTAGAGTTTGGCTTTCCCTGGAGATTTAACATGAATATTGCAAYGTTTTCCACAGGCTGTCCAAAGAGATTTGTCATTGCTGTGGGAGGACTTTTAATTTATTCATTTTTCATTAAAGATTCCATAGTGCAGGGGGTTATAGCAGTACCTTTTCATCCATAGAACACTGTTCTAAAAAATAAAATAAATTTAATGGCCTGTGATAACTCATCCAGCTTAGAATTTGCAGTACAGCCAGGACCTGCAAACAKAGAATGGAAGGAGTTAACAAAATTCAACAATTTCTAAGGTTTAGGGACTCTTCAATGCCTTTTGTGGGCTGTTTTCTGTGASAGACAGGGAAAAAGCAAAGGATGCTTTTGAAACAGTGAAAATGTGTTTGGCAGTTCTTGTTTTCACATCAAAATAAGGGTCAGCTGTTCTGTAGAATTGCTTTTGTCCGTGCCCACCATTCACGCGGGAATAATTCTGATTTTACGCACATTAAATTTATCTGAAAATAAACATTAATGTTGAACCRTGTAGAAATTTCATGTAGGATTACTGGGTTGATCAGAAAGATTTCCATCAGGATTCCCGGGTTGATCAGTGAGATTTCCATCAAGACTTTTGGGTTGATCAGAGGAATTTCCATCAGGATCCCTGGGTTGATCAGAGGGATTTCTCTCAGGATTCCTGGGTTGATCAATGAGATTTCCATCAATTTCTGGGCTAGAACAGGGGTATTTCCATCAAGATTTCTGGGCTGATTGTAAAGATTTCCTTCAAGATTCCTGGGTTGATCACAGACATTTCCATCAGGATTTGTGGGCTGATCAAAAGCATTTCCATCAGGATTTGTGGGCTGATCAAAAGCATTTCCACCAGGATTCTTGGTTTGATTGGAAAGATTTCCCTCAGCATTCCTGGGTTGCATCAGGCATGCACTTTTGTGAATGATTCATTTCCATTCAGAGAAAGAGAAGCGGCATTGTACAAACCCTGTGCTTGGGCAGGGGCTGCTCCATTTCTGGTGTTGTGACAAACTTCTGAACTAAAATTAAACTGCAAATTACTCGTAATGAATCAGGGCCTTGTGCCCACGTAATAAATGGATTTGAGAAGTTGTTTGCAGGGTGCTCAGAAGTTCACATGCTGACTGCATTAGTCACACCTTAATTCTGACAGACAGTGCTTTAGAAAAACATTTTTCAAAGCATTTGCTTGTTTTGTTTCTGGTCTTTGTTTTTCCTTATTATTCCAACAGTTTTTACCTATCCACTTGAAGTGAAATGAAAACAAGTACGATTTTCATTTTATAATGAAATGTTTGCTCAGGACTAATATTGTCTCGACAAGCTGTGATTGTCATTCTAAATGTTATGAGCAGCATCAGAAAATTCAGTGTCACAGCCAAAGTTGGGGATAAAACAGGAGATGAAGGAAGCTGGAGTTAGTTCTCAGTTTTGGGAAGTGTTTGGTCAAACCTTTGGTGTGAAAATCCATTGAACTAGCCATGGGTTGTAAGATGGGTGATTATTCCCAAGTGGAAGAGGTTTAGATGGATTTTGGGAAGGAATTGTTCCCTGGGAGGGTGGG